CCGGAATGTCCCGTACCTAGCTGCGCGCTCACCTGTTCCTCTGGTCTTTCATGCAGAAACCGGAATGATCGTGAAAACTGCACGGAATAATCAGCGCAGTAATCTCCTTCCTTTCTCCTAATTAGATGCTCCTTTTTTTGTAATTCTTTTAACATTTATATAGCGCCGTTCGAGCGTTCGTGGTGGTTTTGTGTGGTTAGCGGGTTCGCGGCTCGGTGGTGTTTCGCTGCTATTGCAGATTCTTCTGGTTAGGTGCGTCGATTTTCTCCTAGATCTCACGAAGAACAACCTATTTGGTATCGAAACTTTTGCAAATTTTTTTCCATTCGTTTGAAATATCGGTTGAGGGTTTTCATTGGGAAATATGCAAGGTGTAAGTGCTTATATCAGCCGGTCGAAGGCCAGTCCGGAGTTCGGCTGTTTGAGTACAGAAAAGTGCCTGGTTGCGCGCGTTTTGTGGTTACGTAAGTGTAACATCTTTTTGAATTCCGCTGTAACTTCGTCACGAAATGTTCGGCAAAACAGAAAACGCAGAAGGTCACCATGTGTAACTTGGCCCTAGAATGGTGAGACGCACTACTAAATTAGTCAATCGAACGAACGACTATATGTCCATGGGCAAAATTTATTAGAGTTCTCTGAAATTGCTAAACAGTGCACTAACTGACTGATCCGTAGTGACGAACAAGCAGGATCAGTAGAATCCGAGAAAACTGCAGTTTTGCTGACAGTATCGCCGCAGTTAGTGCGACGTTGTAAGAATATGCGCTAAATTGCAGCGTTACTTACCGAATAAATTACGTAACCATAAACCTGGAGGTTTAAAGCAGGACGACGCGGGTGTATGCACAATATTTTGGTTTGCTTAACGGTTTTCCCGTCAACCTTGTTCTGATTTGGTACGAATTTGATATACTATGCGATCCGTGTCGAATTTTATTCCGTGTCGAATTTTATATACTTTGCGATCTGCTGATCAAATTGTTAATCGTCTGGCTGAAGGTGCAGCTGCAATGCATACTGCCTAGGATGGCTTCATTCTCACGTGTTTTCCTGTCGGTTTTTCAACCGGATATGCCCACCAGGCGCGCCTCATTTTCAAACGCTTATTCACATGTCTTCGCCAATGGATGCGACTGCAAAAAGAATTTTGTCATGATAACAGATCTCGTCACAATGATTCACCAATCTGTTTTCGGTCACAACAGATACGGCGTCTTGAAAGCTGGGCTGCGTCACATACACTTAAAACTGTCTTCATGCGCTTTGGTCCAGCTGTTCGTTTAACAGATCACGCTGATCACCCACCACTGTTTTTCAGTAATGTCACACCAAAGTTACTCGTAGCAGTGCGTTAGCCGGTGTGTATTCATCGGCGCAGTATACGGTAGCAAAGTTGTACAAGGTTACTGAACATTTCTCAACATCAGTTACATTTGGCTCACTCTCAGTTACAGCGTAACAGCCTACACCTCGATCAAGTACTCACTGCTTACTCTGGGATACGCCAGTCGTCTAACTGCACTCGTTGTTGGTTGAGCCCGGTTTTCTCGCCATCTCGGTAATAATCTATGATCTTCGACGAAACACATGTGAGGCGATGGCTCCCTTGCGTCCACCTGCGTGACGCTACTGGCGCTACGGGAGTGCTTCGTTGCACTACTCCGTGGGGAATTGCCGTCTGTGACGCAGCGCTTCTCTGATTGGTCGGCTACTGCCGTTCATTGTGTTCACTGCTGTGCAGTGCTTTAGAGTTGTCGAGAGCAGGTGGAATTTGGCTCTCTGAGTTGACTGAACGTCAGTGTGTTGGTTTTCACGATAGAGAACGTTAATAAAGTGTATAACGTAGACTGGATATCGTGCGTTGTGCATTTCTTCCTTTAACACGTCACGTTCTACACTACACGGAGTCCTGTCAGTCTGGGCTTCCGTCCTGGACTCATTCCTGGTCCACGGTGATATGGTAGCAGAGCCGTGAACAGACGGTTTCTGAGTTGTCATCAGTTTGGCGAACGGCCACGATCATCTGTTTGGCGAACGGCCACATCGATCTGGATTATATCGATCTTATTATACCAGTAAGGCACTGGTTTTCTTCATCTGAAGCAAGGCGCACTCATCGGATTATTAGCTCTAAAGGCAGCACTGACTAGAGAGTCTCCTGTAGGAGAACTCGTCGTGCACATCAATTCAGACGGCAGAAGGCTGCGGTGCAAGACCTCTCCTGTCGGAGAACTTGTACTGTTTCCTCTGCTAGGCAGCGAGCACCTCTTGTTGGGGTCGAGGCTGTCGGGCACAAGAGCCGAGAAGCCACGAGTTGGCAGCACCGAAGGAGGTGCCAAGAGTCAGTTTTTCGCGCTCCATCAAATTGGTTGTAGAGCGACCTGCTGGTAGGCTTGACAAGCCCAGCAGAAGGCTGAATAGGTCGGACAAGAAGGCGCCAAAACCGTGCGGAATACGGCTGCGCGGGATCGGAGTTGGAGAAGATCATCTGGATCATCTTCACCATCTGGATCATCTTTCTGCGGGATCGGAACGGTGACAGGTAAAAAGAAACGGTTATTAATTATTGGTTTGGTTGAAGCGTAAAATACGCAATTCTTATTGGTCGGTACTGAGCTGAGCTAGACGTAGGCGTAGTTTTTGCACACGGCACGCAAGTCTGGCCGTCGATCTGTGACGTCAGGCCGGTCAGAAAATTTTAACGGGTACACGTGATTGGTCAGTTAAACGAACTTTGATTGGTCGAAAATTTCAACAGTAAAATAGATCTAAAAACGATCTCCTACCGATCTCCCAGCAGTGGGATCGATCTCTTTTCATTGGAAACGATCTAAATTTAACTAAAGGAAGTTGGTTTTAATCGAATTGAGTTGACCGAAAAGTGACCATCTCGGAGATCGATCATCTCGAGATCATCAGTGACCTTTGAGATCAGATCAGATCAGAGAGTGACCTTTACAGATGAGCTGAGATCATCCATTTCAACCGAATACGAACTCTAAACGATCTTTCCAGCAGTTTTATTGATATTAGCAGTTGAACGAGATCATTTTGAGGCAAACCTCTCGATCTTTTTATCAAAAAAGTGACCTTTAAAATCGAACTCGATCAAAGTAGATCAGCTAAAAAGTGATCTCAGGGACTTAAACCGATCTCAATAACGTGTGTGTGAGCAAAACCAACAGGTGCGTCACAGTTATCCGATCACAATGGACAAAGAAACAATCGAACCGACATCTAACAGTAGCCAGGGGAGCCGTAGCTCTCACGGGTCACAGCAAGGTGCACATAACCCGTACAAGAAAGACTTGTACCCGTACTCGCGTCCAGTAGGACATGATCGAAATACTCGAGCACCGAAAGTCCCCGTGAAGAAAGATTCACGTGGGTCAGAAGCAACGTACCAGAAGGCACTCGAAGCAGTGTCGGCTCAGGAGAGCTCAAGCGACGACCTGAAACGATCTCCCGCGCCTGCGGCGGGAAGCAGCGAGGTGAACCAGGAGGTCACCAAAGAAGGAACGAGCTCGGAACGAGCTGCAGAGACGGATCTGACATCGCAAAACGACATAACCGACCAGGATAAGAAGGAGAACCTGGTTAAAAACGATCTCACCGAGCAGCTAAAGATCACATCAGATGACCTCAACGAACTTAGGCTAGATGATCTCACACTTGGAGATGAAACAACAATTGAGGATATCTTCGAGAGTCCAATGGCATGAGATGATGATACAATCGCGGAAATGAAGAATCATACTTCACTGAAGATGAGATGACATTGAATATGTCATTTAAAACGGCCATGAAGGAAGCTGATCGAGCCCAGGGATTGACACCCTTCGAGGACATCCCCGAAAGTCTGATTGAAAGGAATCAGACAGGGAAGATCGTCAATGTACGATCTCCATCTCCGAACAGTCCCACTTCGAACCTGAAAAAACGAGTCAGAGAACTTGAAACCTTATTGGAAGAAAAAGAGGCACAAGTTATCAAAAAGAAACAGGAATATCAGAGCAAATTGGGATCGCTACAGACGCACATATACGAACTGGAACAACAACAGGGCGTATTGGAAACTAAAGCGGAAGAATGGAAAGTTCGATATGAACGTCAAGTGCAGATCGCCAAAGAATCGGTGAAGATAGCCGATGACAGGGAGATGGAAGGCTACATAGCTGTGAACGAACTTAATGAGAGCATGTCCGAAGAGACAGCTGAAAGGTCACGGCACATAGCCGAACTGAAGGATCAGTGTGACGAACTGCGTAAAAAGGCAGATGAAGCAGAAGAGAAACGAACCGAATACGCGACAAAATTGGCTGAAGCGACCAAACGGCTATCAACGGTGAATAAGGACATGTTCAAGCTCAGGAATGACTTGAAGTCAAGAGATGAGAATATCGAAACGCTCCAAAAGGAATCGGCAGATCATCAGAAACGAGCTGATGATGCCGTTAAAGTGGCACATGATCTGCGCGATCTTTTAGCTACCGAAGGGGAACGACTTAAAGATGAGATCAAGCAGGTCACTGAGGAGAACGCACAGCTCAAAGAAGCTGGCGAGAAGGCGGCCGAATGGGGCCAAAGATGGGAAGAGGAAGCACGACGACTAGATATGAAGGTGACAAAAGTCGAAGTGGAAAGCAAAGAACATCAGAAAAAGATCCGTGAGCTGACAGATGAGAATATAAAGCTCAATACGGAAATAGTCGATATGACACAAACAGTGATGACTCACCAAGACGAAGTCACCCAATCGAGAACTCGACTGAAATCGGCAGCTGATGCGTATGCTCAACTGGAACAGCAAATGAATCAGCTAATTGACCAGATTAAAGCGAGAGATGGACGAAAAGAGTTAAACGCAGAGACGATTCAGCGGCGAATTTCGCCCACATGCTCAAGCAGGAGCGAGATCAGCTGCAAATGGAAAACGAGCAGCTTAACACCAGAATTAAACGTCTCGAAGATGAGAACAAGGGCCTAAAAGTGACAAATAAACACAGGAAGAGCTAATTCTGCAAGCAGGAAGTGCAAAGAGATGCTGCTGCCGCCCCGCCCAGCTACAGTAAGGCACAAGAAGCGGGCGGGAGCTTCCACTTTGAGATGCCACTACGAACGGGCGGCGGCA